CCGAAAAGAAGAGGTCTATTTAGCTGAAAGTAGATAATCCAACTTCGGAAAGTAGATATTTTCCGTTTTATGATACAAATTTCCGTTTCTATGATAATCTACTTTGCAAAATAGTAATATTTCTGTGTTTCCGAGGCTCCATTTCCCCGAAATGATATCTACTTTCCCGAAGTAACGTATCTACTTTTCGCGAAAGTAGATAACCAACTTTCCTGGAAAGTAGATATTTCCCATTTTTTATGATACAAATTTCCCGTTTTCTATGATAATCTACTTCGCAAAATTAGGTAATATTTCAACCAAAATTCGAAAATCTACTTCCCCGAAAAGTCAATAATCTACTTTCCCGAAAAGTAAAAAATCTATCTACTTTCGGGAAAGTAGATAACCAATTTTCCCGGAAAGTAGATATTTCCCATTTTTTATGATACAAATTTCCCGTTTTCTATGATAATCTACTTCGCAAAATTAGGTAATATTTCCCCCAAAATTCGGGAAAATCTACTTCCTCAAAAGTCGATAATCTACTTTCCCGAAAAGTAGAAAATCTATCTACTTTTCGGGAAAGTAGATAACCAACTTTCCCGGAAAGTAGATATTTCCCGTTTTTTATGATACAAATTTCCCGTTTTCTATAATAATCTACTTCGCAAAATTACGTAATATTTCCCCCAAAATTCGAAAATCTACTTCCCCGAAAAGTCGATAATCTACTTTCCCGAAAAGTAGAAAATCTATCTACTTTTCGGGAAAGTAGATAACCAACTTTCCCGGAAAGTAGATATTTCCCATTTTTTATGATACAAATTTCCCGTTTTCTATGATTATCTATTTCGCAAAATTAGGTAATATTTCCTCCAAAATTCGAAAATCTACTTCCCAAAAAGTCGATAATCTACTTTCCCGAAAAGTAGAAAAGCTATCTACTTTTCGGGAAAGTAGATAACCAACTTTCCTGGAAAGTAGATATTTCGTTTTTATTATACAAATTTCTGTTTCTATGATGATAAATTCACTTCGCAAATTAGGTAATATTTCAAAATTGAAAAAAATCTACTTCTAAAAGTCGATAATCTACTTTCCCGAAAAGTAGAAAATCTATCTACTTTCGAGCAGGTAGATAACCAACTTTCCCGCAAGGAAAGTAGATATTTCGTTTTTATGATACAAATTTCAAAGTTTCTATGATAATCTACTTCGCAAAATTAGGTAATATTTCCTCCAAAATTCGAAAATCTACTTCTAAAAGTCGATAATCTACTTTCCCGAAAAGTAGAAAATCTATCTACTTTTCGGGAAAGTAGATAACCAACTTTCCCGGAAAGTAGATATTTCCCATTTTTTATGATACAAATTTCCCGTTTTCTATGATAATCTACTTCGCAAAATTAGGTAATATTTCCTCCAAAATTCGAAAATCTACTTCTAAAAGTCGATAATCTACTTTCCTGAAAAGTAGGTTTCATCTACTTTTCGGGAAAGTAGATAACTAACTTTCCCGGAAAGTAGATATTTCCCATTTTTTATGATACAAATTTCCCGTTTTCTATGATAATCTACTTCGCAAAATTAGGTAATATTTCCCCCAAAATTCGAAAATCTACTTCCCCGAAAAGTCGATAGTCTACTTTCCCGAAAAGTAGAAAATCTATCTACTTTTCGGGAAAGTAGATAACCAACTTTCCCGGAAAGTAGATATTTCCCATTTTTTATGATGCAAATTTCCCGTTTTCTATGATAATCTACGTCGCAAAATTAGGTAATATTTCCCCCAAAATTCGAAAATCAACTTCCCCGAAAAGTCGATAATCTACTTTCCCGAAAAGTAGAAAATCTATCTACTTTTCGGTAAAGTAGATAACCAACTATCCCGGAAAGTAGATATTTCCCGTTTTTATGATACAAATTTCCCGTTTTCTATGATAATCTACTTCGCAAAATTAGGTAATATTTCCCCCAAAATTCGAAAATCTACTTCCCCGAAAAGTCGATAATCTACTTTCCCGAAAAGTAGAAAATCTATCTACTTTTCGGGAAAGTAGATAACCAACTTTCCCGGAAAGTAGATATTTCCCATTTTTTATGATACAAATTTCCCGTTTTCTATGATAATCTACTTCGCAAAATTAGGTAGTATTTCCAAAATTCCGGAAAATTTACTTCCGAAAGTCGATAATCTACTTTCCCGAAAAAGTAGAAAATTCATCTACTTTCGAAAAAGTAGATAACCAACTTTCCTGAAAGTAGATATTTCCCATTTTTTATGATAAATTTCTGTTTTATGATAATCTACTTGCAAAAAATTAGGTAATATTTCCGGGGGCCCGAAATCTACTCTCTAAAATGATAATCTACTTTCCCGAAAAGTAGAAAATTCATCTACTTATCGGGAAAATATAGATAACCAACTTTCCCGGAAAGTAGATATTCTGTTTTTATGATACAAATTTCCCGTTTTCTATGATAATCTACTTCGCAAAATTAGGTAATATTTCTCCCAAAATTCGAAAATCTATTCCCCCGAAAAATCGATAATCTACTTTCCCGAAAAGTAGAAAATCTATCTACTTTTCGGGAAAGTAGATAACCAACTTTCCCGGAAAGTAGATATTTCCCATTTTTATGATACAAATTTCCCGTTTTCTATGATAATCTACTTCGCAAAATTAGGTAATATTTCCCCCAAAATTCGAAAATCTACTTCCCCGAAAAGTCGATAGTCTACTTTCCCGAAAAGTAGAAAATCTATCTACTTTTCGGGAAAGTAGATAACCAACTTTTCCGGAAAGTAGATATTTCCCATTTTTTATGATACAAATTTCCCGTTTTCTATGATAATCTACGTCGCAAAATTAGGTAATATTTCCCCCAAAATTCGAAAATCAACTTCCCCGAAAAGTCGATAATCTACTTTCCCGAAAAGTAGAAAATCTATCTACTTTTCGGGAAAGTAGATAACCAACTTTCCCGGAAAGTAGATATTTCCCGTTTTTTATGATACAAATTTCCCGTTTTCTATGATAATCTACTTCGCAAAATTAGGTAATATTTCCCCCAAAATTCGAAAATCTACTTCCCCGAAAAGTCGATGGATGGTCTGAGCAGGGCTCTCACAATTTACAACCATAAAAATGCATCATTGGAAGTTACATTTAGTTAGCTTGGGGGATTGGTAACTAAAGACAACTGAGTTATCAGGTTTGAATTATAACATAGAGAAGATTTGGTTAGAAAAGATCAGATAAGTCTGCTCAAAATATTTATATGACACAATACAAATATTATCATAGTAGTACAGTATATACCAAGCATCGAATACATCACTAACACACAAATGCAACATGGATAATTAAAAACAATATCAGAAACTTTATATGATGCCTTTAAATCATTACACAGTAGTACATGCAGGCACCGAGGAGTGAACTTCCTGAAGATAATTAGTTGGCCAATAAAATTTTCCAAATCTAAACATAGACCAATTAATTATATACAACTTTGACTTAAAATTGCAGCAACATGGTTCAGTATCAATGAAATGAGGCACAAATATAGTAATTTTACTGATGAAATCAATAGATAGTGACATAAAAGATGTAAATAAGCATTATTGTACAACTGGAATCATATTAAATGTTATGAATCCTGAAAATATTATTGAGTAGCACAGGTTGTACCTCTCTAGTCCGGCAACCTCGGGACTGACCGGTGCCGGACCATGGAAATTCACCCTTTTCCTGGATAGATAGTGACTTGTGCTTATGCTTGGAAGCACTAGCACGACTTTCTCTGCATCATGGTCTCTTTGAAGACATATTGAAGGGTTAAATGTTGTATACTGTAGTAGCTTCTCAAATTTCGCGAGTTTTTAATTCAACGTATTTTATTGGAACACACACACACAAAAAAAATAAATAACAATTTTGACGGCGGAAACTTGAATTTCGACGGGTTTGAACGGCCCGCTAACGTGCAGACGACGTGCATAAACGTGTAAACAGCGTCATTTCTCTTATGTACAAAAGAGTCATTATTGTTTATTACTGAATGTCTTTTTTATTGAATTAATGTTTATGTGTGCAAAATGAGCAATACAATTCATTAATAATACGTAGAATATTAAAACACGAGGAAATGAGACAGCATTGTTTTCGTTGATTACAAAACCAGTGACTGACTGGTTCTACATATAAAACTGAAGAAAATAAGAACTTGGTTGTAGCTGTAGTAAAATTAATACTGGTTGTTTTAAGTAATGTTATTTAATGTTAATAAATGGAACAATAGAAGTAGCTAACGATAAAGGTAAAGAAAAAAGAGAGATCGCGTATGTAAGTGCGACACGTGAAAACATATCGTCATTACTTTACATAAGAATATAAAGCAACACTTATTTACTGTTCATATATATTTTAATTAATGTTTCTGAATTTGTTTTTATTGAATTAATGTTTGTGTGTGCAAAATTAACAATACAATTTATTAATAATACGTGGAATATAATACACACGAGGAGACGAGACGGCTGGCATTGTTTATGTTAAAGCTTACAAAACCAGTGACTGATTGGGTCTACATATCTTGTCTAATAATTCAACTTTCTTTGTCAGGGTTTTTACTGACTTCTGCCTTTTATGTTTCACTCCACTAGCTTCACCAGCACTGACACTAGGCAGTCTTTTAGAGGCCATTTTTACACAGAAACACTAAAGTTTTGAGAGTACAACACGAGATGCTGCATCATGGGCAAAAGCCAAGCGCGAACATGGGGAGAGGAGATGCTGCGAGCGCATGGGGTGACTTGTTGTGCTGCTGGCCACCATCTGCTTACCATGAATCACAAACCCACGAATGGCAAGGGTTTACTGTATACAGTAGAACGTCGATATAACACAAGATACGTTCCAAGAGAAGTCGCTTAAAACCTAATTCGCACTAAATCGAAGTGTTGTTTCAATGGAATAATTTAGTTTTGTACTCGAGAGAAACACAAAATACCAAAAAGGCTGAGAGTCTACCCAGATGCACCTCAGTCCAACTCCTAGAATAAACAAAACATTGTTTTATTTGTACTATTATGCTAAAACAAACACTCATAAATCAATACAGCTAAAATTATGGGATGTGAAATGGTCTGTGTACTAGCGATCAGCTGAAATGAGAGGGTCGTATGGCGCCGCTGCGAAGGGTTGCCAAGTCTGTCTTTTAAGGACAGCATGTCCCTTTTTGAGACCCATTTGTCCGTTATTTTCAAAATAAAAAGGACAAGCATAAACTATCTTTATCTGAATTTTAGGTCTATACAGTACTACAAAAAGGTAAGTTATTATTATTATATATATATATATATATATATATATATATATATATATATATATATATATATATATATATATATATATATATATATATATATATATATATATATATATATATATATATATATATACAAAAAATAAATGTTAAATGAATTATTTATGGTGCATTAGAGTACTGGTCACTTCAGACACAAAGACGGGCTATAAATAGCCTTCTTTATCTCCCCTCCATCTCACCCTGAGCCAGAGGGAAGGGGTGGTGGTAAATAACATTTGTTTGCTTATTTTCCATTTACTTGAAATAGATTTACCGAATTATTTGTTTATTTATTTAAAAGTCATTTACTGAATATTCTATGTAAAAAATAAATTTTAAATTAATTATTTATAGGAGATACCATAAATATATGGTATTACTAGCCACTTCAGACACAAAGACGAGATAAAAATAGCCCGTCTCCCCCTCTTCTTACAGCTGCCAATGGGAAGCGTCTTGGTAATTAAATTTGATGTTTATTTTCATTGTCTAATTTATCATGTATCAAAGTAATATTACTAAAAATTGTGTAGGTAGTAGGCAGCTACCAAACAGGTAGATACTACCGCCTGGGAAGATATTGGAAGCATAATGTGTTGTCTAATGGTAGACCCTGCTGCCATATGGCATCACGAAAATTGTGACCAAGTCCCAGGTTCAGCGCTGACCTGACTTTCTGCCTCATTTACACACAATTGCAGTTTGAATTGTTCCTCTAACTTTGACAACACAACATACATACAGTATATTATTTCTCACTTTTGATCTTTTTTTACTTTTTGTATTTATTTATGTTTAGTTACTTTAAATGAGACCAATTCACTTCAAGTAATGGCTGGTGTAGTGTAAACACTAGTGACGTCACTTAAGCGTCTGTATTTAACTGTCAGTAGTTTCAAGAATTAATGCAGTCATTTACTGAATATTCCTTGTAAAAAAATAAATTTTAAGTATTATTATCAGTAAATATACCGATATGCATTACTGACCACCTCCACGGCTAAAAATAGCCCAATCTCGCGGTCACTTTCCCTTTCTTGTCTCCTCACTGGCAAATGGGGGGTGTGTGATGATAGCTGTGTTTATTACAGGGGTATAATTCTCTTTTACGGTATGTCAGACAGGTTTATAATACATTTTTATTATTTTAATATACCGGTAATCTTAATTTGAATCCAGCTTGCCAAACGCAAGTTTCAGTATAAAATAATTAGTGGTAAGACCTTGTGAGTGGCTTACGATGTTTCCATCACCACTCTTGACAAACTAAACCACAATATTTAAGAGGTAAGAATTTTATATTTGGTGGTTTAGACGACCCCCTAACTTTGGGCAGATTTTTTTAATGTTCAAATTCCGTCTTATAAGCCGAGATATACGGTACTTCATTTATGTATTTTAGCTCAATGTCCAAGTGGAAATAGCTTGAACATATATTGAAGTCTCTGTTGGTAAGAGTACGTACTAGATTACGTTTGTAATTAAGAGGAATAAAAGATGAAAATTTTGAACTCAAACCAGTGAAAGTTGGTTTTCTGTATAAGGCTGTCTCTAAACTATTATGAAGACGGTGGATATTAACATCAAGGAATGGAAGAATATTTTCCTTTTCCAATTCACAAGTAAATTTGATGTTGCCATGTTTCGAATTTAAATAATTTAGGAGCATAGGGACGTGATCAAGTGATCTGAAAATTAAAAAAGTGTCATCAACAAACCGACGATAGAACAAAGGCTTAAATTGGGGGGACATTCGGTAAGCCAAAGCTTCTCGTGGTGACAGAGGAAAGCGTTGGCCAACGTGGGACCTACAGGTGAACCCATAGCAACACCTTCACATTGTTTATAAGCTTTGTTATTAAATAAAAATAAACAATCATTTACAGCCAGTTTTAAAAATTCTTTAAATGTGTAGGAGGATGTAGAGATGTGTAGGAGGGTGTAAAGGGGGTGCCGAAGGTGTGTAAGGATGGATAGGGATGTGTAGGAGGGTGTAGAGATGTGTAGGAGGGTGTAAAGGGGATGTCGAACGTGTGTAAGGATGGATAGGGATGTGTAGGAGGGTGTAAGGATGTGATACTTACTCTGATGGGTAAATTTCATACATTCCACTCTCGGTCGCCCCTTCAGTCTGATGACCGGCGCAGTCCTTCACTCTGTTGAGGAGAGAAAGAGAGAGATAGAGAGAGAGAGAGGGGGGAGAGGGAGAGAGAGAGAGAGAGATTGACTTTATACGAGAGAGAGAGACAGAGAGAGAGAGTCCTTCATTCTATTGGGAAAGGATAGAGATGAAGACAGACAGACACAGACACACCCACCTTGACCCAGTACCCAACAACACAGGGGCAGGTGTGGTCTTGGGAAGTATGGTCACTTTCTTACAGACACAATCCAATCCTACAAAATTCCTCTCTTCCAACTGTGCTTCTGTTAAATTCTCTCTACACGGACATAAATCATCTATTTTAACACCTTTTTTAACATCCTCTCTAGTATCTGTAGGTTTGGCGCTGTCTGTAGGAGGTAGGATATCTGTATATTTTACCTGTAGCTGTAGACGGAGTTCTTGTTTATCCTCCTGTGGAGACTCGATCTGGGCAGTACAACGACCTTGTTGGGTGAGTAAATCTTCGTTACGTTGTTGCAGTAGAGCGTGGTGACGTAGAGCCAGAGTTAACAGTGAGTTTGGTCCTTCGTCGTTAACCCGAGCCAGTACTGTCAACAAACATGGAGGGTAGGGTTAGCTTAGGTGTGTGTAGGTTAGCTTAGGTGTGGGTAGGTTAGCTTAATATTTATTTTAGTTTAAGATTAATAAGGTTTAATTAGGGTTAGGTTAGGTTAGTTTAGTTTAGTTTAAGATTAGTAAGGCTTAATTAAGGTAGCTAATGTTTGTTTAGGTTAGATTACGTTAAGATAGCTTAGATTAAGTACGGCTAAACTATATTAGGGTAGTTAAGACTATGCTAAATGAGGTTAAATGGACCCCAGAACAACAAAACAGTCTCCTTACCTTCCTTGGGGCTGACATCAAGCAGGGGGATGAGGATGTCAGCTGGTAGTAACTTCTGTAACGACCTGCTGACGTCCAGTAACTGTACCAGCAAGTCTGACGGCACTGTTACCATCTGTTGGGAGATAGATAGATAGATAAATAGATAGATACATATGCATACATACATATATACATACATACATAGTTTTGAAGGCACTAAAAATCAGTCAATTGAGAGAGAATTTAACTTACTGTAGAATTCCCTTCATTTTTAGTTGCTGGAGCCGCTGACAGGTCCGTAGCTAACCACACCCATAGCACACACGCCCACGATACACCCACCCATGCCTGCCGCCCACACATGATTCCTGAAAAACGAAAATAAATACTTGCGACAATAGCAATGGGGTAAAAAAATAAACAAGTTTGTCCTTAAATAACTGACTTTCATTCTACTTTCCTTTACGACCAACTGAGTTAGATTGTTAATGGCATTTATGAGAGAGCCAGTACTTGCCCAGTAACAGAGTGGAACAGAGAGCCAGTACTTGCCCAGTAACACTGTGTAACAGAGATCCAGTACTTGCCCAGTAACAGTGTGTAACAGAGATCCAGTACTTGCCCAGTAACAGTGTGTAACAGAGATCCAGTACTTGCCCAGTAACAGTGTGTAACAGAGATCCAATACTTGCCCAGTAACAGTGTGTAACAGAGATCCAGTACTTGCCCAGTTACGTCTGTTACACACTGTCGGCAAGTACTGGCTCTGTTACACACTGTTGGCAAGTACTGGGCATGTACTGGCTCTGTTACACACTGTTGGAAAGTACTGGCTCTGTTACACACTGTTGGCAAGTACTGGGCATGCACCGGCTCCTAAATGTACCTGAACCCACTCCAGTGTTGGTCAAGTCTTGTCTTGAAAAAGCTCACACTCGGTGCCGACACAACACTCTCTGGTAGATTGTTCCAAGAGTTTACAACCCTCACGGTTTTCTGGACTTGCGGCTTCTTCAATCTTGAGCTGTGACCCCTTGTGGGGCGAGCGTCCGCCAGCTTCAAGTAAGGGCACTCAACTGAGTAGTGCCCCCTGAGATGCTTATACACCTCAACTAGGTCCCCTCTTGCCCGTCTGTAGTATAAGCTAGGCAAGTTCAGGCGCTCCAATCTCTCAGGGTAGCTGAGGTGCCCAAGTGCGGTCCGACTAATTACCCAAATGTACCCAAATGTAGCAAAATATAGCCGGAATGAAGTCAAATAATGGTCCTACATGAATTAATCGGACTGCCAATCATTTCTCGACTAGTATTTGGTGTCACAAAGTCACAAAAAATTGGAAAACTTACTTTAATCTGAGTTCATACATCGCGCGCATGTACCGAGGGAGCGAGGAATTACCCAAATGTAGCCAAATGTAGCCGCAATGAAGTCAAATGATGGTCGTACAAGCGTAATTCGGGCTGTGAATCACTTCTCGATTATTATTTGGTGTCATAAAGTCACAAAAAATTGGTAAACTTAATTTAATCTGAGTTGTGTTGTGTTAGGTTAGGTTAGGCTAGGTTAGATTAGATTAGGTTGGCTAAAGTGGGTCGCATCGCCCAGAGGATGGTTTGAGTGGTGAATGAGGCATTTTTTGAACATAAAAAATTTTCTATTGTATTTTATGTAATGCTATGAATCAATTTATCATAACAATGAATTTGGCAGCTCATCTCTGTTGCAGATGGTATTCAAACTTATGATAGTAGCTGATTTTGGAGGAATTTTTATTTTTAGTGTTACTGTTTCATTTTGGTGCCAGTTAGTTGAATCTACTGGAAGCCTGCCTGGATACCGGATAACTGGGATTCTACTGTATATAGCATACGGTTGTACCTGTAGATGTTGAATACAGTATTAGATCCTTACTAAAAAAAAAGTGGTAGCTGCAGTGAGGATGTAACAAGTCAAGGTGAAGTGATCATTACTTAATAAAGCTAATATTAGATATTAAAATAATTCTCAACATTTTTGTTTATAAGGACGATTTAGCTCAATTAATTTAATTTTCTACATAAATAAGAACAATGTAAATTCTGTTGGTCTGATAAGATACACAGTCCAGTATTATGAATATAATATAATGATACTGTATTATGAACATATTTAATCAAATTAATAAATGAACTGAGAACTTACTACTCCATGACCATAACCATTTCTCTCTGTCGTTCATAAGCAGCTCCGAGCTGAAGGAGTTTGGGATGCCGAAGTGAATTCGTGATGTCAACTTCCTCGCAAACCTGTATGGGTGATCACAGTATAGGTCAGGGGTTCTAGATTTAGCACATCGCATTATAACTTTTCACTGACAGTTATTGAGCACACCATCGAAAAAAAAATTGGTGCTCATCGGATTAAAAATGTTGGGAAATTTGGTGTAGGAAGTGTTCCAGTTAATCCAAATAAATCATTTTGGTATTTGGCACAATACCTTTTTGGGGGGACCTGTGGGAGTATGTGTTAAGTTTATAGTGTGTCTTAAGAGTAACAGTTTAGGTGTGTGAGGGAGATATCTCAACAGCTCCTGAAATTTTATTCTTGTTGAAGCTTAGGCATTCAAAGTTAGCATTATACCAATATTAGGTCCCAAAGACACAATATAAATGTCTTCTTTACACATACAGGCATTCCTAAAATAACCTCTTACCCCTTATGGTTGAAATGTAGATATCAACATTACATATAGAGTATCAAGAGTTTTGGCTTCAATGTTAGTTATTAGTTAAAATAAAGCTAAAAAATCAGTACAATTCAAAATTTACCTTTTCTTTATCTTTGGCAATTATGCACTTGATGATCTTTGCAGTTCTTCTCACCCCAGAGTTCTTCTCAGTCACTCTGTACACTATACCAAAGCGACCTTTCCCCACTTCCTCATGTAAGCTGTACTGCTTGTCGAATAGACTTCCAGGCTCAATTTCAACATTCAGGGGTGCAAATGCTGTCTCATGATCTGTAAAGTGTGTTTATTGTAGCAATTTACAGTGGTCACTTCTCTTAACAAAAATAAATGGGCACCAGGAAATTGATTCCTTGGAATCCCTTTAAAAAAATTTAATAAATATTTTTAGTCTTTGAAATGTTTGGAGACGATTTCAGAAATGACTATTGACCACCTCTCACATCATAAGAGGCCATCAAAGATATACTTTACACTAAAGTGAGAATTTTTTGATAACAGTTTTTTTTGTCTTATTTCCATATGCAATACTGTTGGATACAATCAACAGCAGCAATAAGGGGCACTGTAGGAGAGCAGTGGAATATTACCTTCAGGCTCAGGTTCCTCCACAGGATCAGCGGTGGTGACTGGTGTGGAGGGTTTTGATGGCTCTGACAGTCCATGTACAATCTGGGCACGTACTCGGAACTCGTACTGACAGTTCTTCTTGGGGCCCCTGGCAATGTACGAGGTCAAGTGGCACCTGTAAGACATATCATGAGCATACTTAATTGCAAAAGAGTATCAAAAATAAAAAATTATACGAATAGGCTTCAATATTGTGCCCTTAAAAATGCTTCAGAGAACTATTAAATGAACTAAGTGTTATCTTAAACATAAAAATCCTTAAACATCTATTATATTAAATAAACAGAGAATTCTTAAGGATATAGAAAGCCTTCATCCTAACCCCTTCACTGTGAGACCCCACTTTTAATATTTTAGCTATTTGGCAAATACCAGAAGATTCTATTCAACCCAGAGATATCCCCCATACAAAAAGAGTTGAGAGGTTGAAGGTTAATGCTTTGCAATGAATAGAATAAAATATACCGCACAAAGACAGACATCACTGGAATGGCGACTAACCCACTGATAAGAGTGTACCGGTCGTCGCTGCCAGCCTTACGTGCCTCCACTGTGTACCCCATCACCACTGAGCCGCCATCAAAAGTTGGACCGTACCAAGACAAGGTGATCGAGTCGGCTGTTACTTCACTGCGGTTGGGTTTGGCTGCTGGAGGCTCAGGAGCACCTGTGATAAAACAAATCAAGGAAGCAATCCCAGGTAAATACATTGATTTTATTAGAACACAAATAATAAACATTAACCACAGGGGTGATGGCTTGCAAGACTGTATGCAAACACTCAAAAATTGTAGATGCAAATAACCCTAACCATATACAAATACCCTTAACCATATACAATCATACTACAATTATACAGTGTTCTTAATTTTCCTATACGTACAACTGTTGACATGATGGCAGGTTTACCTGACCTAAGGCGCTCAAGAATAAAATCTTCAAACTAATAATAGGCAATAAAATAGTACAGTGACTAATATATATCAACTGCATTAATCCTTCTTAATCCCTATCAACTGAATTTAGATATTTCACCACAAGGGCTACAACACGCGAGCTTTTCAATTTCTCAATATCCATAAACACTTACTTCCAACAGCAAGAGAGGCACAGGCTGCGTGTTCTGCGAGGGAGTTCCTCACTATAATGGTGTACTGTACTTGTCACAGTCGTCCGACACCACATCACAGATGGTGAGGCTGGTGGATCCTTTCTCGGTCTTTACCTTGTACCGTCCTTCATCCATAACATCTTGTTCCTAGACACATGCACATCACAACTATTGCTATTATTATTAATGTCGACAATACTTATTAAAAAAATAGAGGATTTATGTGTTTCGAAAGAAACACGTACAGTCTCGTTCAAGATTCTTCGAACACTGCTGGAGACAGCTGGCAACTAAAGGCCGTTTGTTTACTATAGTACGTACAATATAATACGAATCAACAGAGCCCATCCATCAAATTAAGCAACGGGGAACTAGGTAATCAACTACTGATCACTTTAATATTCATTCATAAATTTTACTACATACTATAGTAAACAAACGGCCTTGAGTTGCCAGCTGTCTCCAGCAGTGTTCGAAGAATCTTGAATGAGACTGTATATTGTAGGCCAGTGCAACATCTGCTGAAATCTGAAGTAGTACTGTACAGTGGTCTCTCGGTGAACGAGCACCTCGGTTAACGAGATTTCGGTTAACGAGTTACCTTCCATAAGATTCTTAACTTCGGTTAACAAGCAATCCCTTCATTAACGAGTTTTTTACGAGCCGACCTCAACATGTTTTCGCTTGCACGTGGCTGTCAACCAGCTGCAGTATTAGTCCGCCAATACAGTAATCGGTTCTAGGGCTTAAATTCCTTACTATTTTAGTAAATATCAAGAAGTTTATACTATTCAATAATTTTAAAAGTTTAATATTAAATTTTTTAGTAATTTTTGCAATTATTGAACATAATTGAAGGTAAGGTAACTAGTTTCATGCGCGCCATCCAGCCTGTCAACACACCAAACAGGCGTTAGTCTCTCTGTCTTTTCAGTGGAGGTAACATCTTGCTTGAGACTCTCTTCAACTAAACGCTTTTTTTCTGCGTTTCCAAGCAAATTATTGGTCATTTTGAAATTTATTTTACATAATGACAATATATAGCACAGTGCAATGTTATTTTAAAGAAAATACTCTTTATTTACAGCAAGTTTAAACTTAAAATATTACGTGTTGAGATTGTTTGAATCCAGCATGGAGCCTAAGAGATCAAGAAAAGCGATTTCAATCCAAACTAAGTAGGAAATTATAAAAAACATGAAGAAAGCATTAGAACAAATGCGCTATGCAAAGAATATGGCATGTCGACATCAACTGTGTCGACAATTCTTGCACAGAAAGAAAAATTTAAAGAAGTGAACGTGAGAGACAAATCTATCAGAGTGTTTAAAGGTAGATCCCTAATTGCAGAAACAGAGAGGTTACTTCTCATCTGGATTAGGGAAAAACAGATGAAAGGTGATTCAGTTTCTCCTGAATTTATTTGTGAAAGAGCCAGGGAGATTTACGAACATTTAAAGACAGATCAACCTGGTTCTTCAGGCACAGAATTTTAAGATTTTAGGGCCAGCAAAGGCTGGTTCGAAAAATTTAAGAAAAGAAGTGACATATTTAGTGTAGTTAGGCATGGTGAGGCTGCTAGTGCTGATAAGGAAGGGGCAGCAAAGTTTTTAGTGGAGTTTAAGGAACTGATGGATCAAGAAAATTATCTTCCACAGCAAGTGTTCAATGTGGACGAAACTGGGTTGTTTTGGAAAAAGATTCCCAAAAGAACATTCATCACCAGAGATGAAGCCTCTTTACATGGGCATAAACCCATGAAAGACCGTCTCACTCTATTGCTTGGTGCCAATGCTTCAGGGGATTTCCAATTGAAGCCTATGCTTGTCTACCACTCTGAGAACCCCAGGGTGTTCAAACAACAAAAAGTGGAAAGAGGAAAGCTTGGAGTTTATTGGAAGTCCAACCGAAAGGCATGGGTGACAAGACAGCTCTTTAATGAATGGGCTGTTGAGGTGTTTTGCCCTTCTGTCAAGAGCTACCTAACCACCAATAAACTCCCTTTAAAGGTTCTTCTCCTCATGGATAATGCCCCTGGGCATGACCCTGAACTTGCCAGAACTTTGGAGCATCAATTTGACTTTGTGAAAGTGTTGTTTTTGCCTCCCAACACTACATCAATCATGCAGTCAATGGACCAGAATGTTATCAGCAACTTCAAGAAGTTGTACAGTACATGAAGAAAATGTTTAGGTGGTGTCATCAGGCAACTTCCACTGATCCTGAACTAACACTGAAACAGTTCTGGAAGACACAATTCGACATCCTGGAGGCTGTAAAATTGATTGTGTCATCATGGCAAGAAGTCTCCACCAGATCCCTCAATTCTTCATGGAAAGCACTGTGGCCATCAGTAGTCCATGATTTTGAGGGATTTCAGGATGACACAGAGTTGCACCAGGAGACTGTGTCCATTGGTCAGTCATTGGGCCTTGAAGTGGAGGAGGATGATGTCGAAGAGCTTGTGATGTCTCATGAGGCGGAACTTACTCCTGAAGACTTGCAGCAACTGGATGAGATGTTAGAGGCTGACAGTGGTGAGAAGGAAAAGGAAAGTGATGACCATATGTCAACTTCAGAGTTGAAAGATGGTATTTACTACTGGGAGAAGTTCAGGAAACTGGCTTCAAAGCACCGAGATGTGGAAAAATCTGAACTAACTGTGTCATGTTGAGGACACAATGGTAGCCTTCTTTAAACATAAGTTAATAATTAGGAGGAGAGATGCCCCACAGACCACAATTCACACTTTCTTCAGTAAAAGGCAGAGGGAACAAGATGCTAGCTCTCAGCCTTCCACTTCAAGAAGGAGAGAGGATGATGCTAGCCCTCAGCCTTCCACTTCAAGAAAGAGAGAGGATGTTCATGGTAGAGAATCTGTCAGTCCAGAGGTTCCTGACATTTTCATGGAAGGTGACTCACCTTCCAAGCAGTAAAATGCTTCTCCTCCACCTCCACTTCCTTCTCTTCTCCTTCTCTCCTGCACCTCCCACTTCAAATTCCCATCATCATCATCATCATCCAGGAGCCTTCTACATACACACCTCAAAGTAAGTGTACTTTTCTACCTTTTTTTGTTGGTTAGGCAATTTTCGGTGAGCTGGACAGTACCCAAAAAACCCCATTGAAACAATGGTTTTGGGTTAGCAGTTTTTGGGTTAACAAGCAGCCTTCTGGAGCAGGATTGTGCTTTCGTTAACGAGGGACCACTAGCTATGTATGTATGTATAATAGCCAGCATGTAATATGTAGCAACAACAACCGTATGTATGTATATATATATATAATATATATATATATAAAAATTATTAATATATATATATATTATATATATATATATATATATATATATATATATATATATATATATATATATATATATATATATATATATATATATATATATATATATATATATATATATATATATATATATATATATATATATATATTCGATCCTTTTAATCGGTTTGGATAATTCGGACAAAATCTGAGCGATTTTTTTTCTATTTTTTTTTTTTTAAGATTTGTAGGAATATTACCAACCGGACCTAAAACTAAAATTCTGGTCCACCCACTGCTGGGATAAAACACCAGCGTCTTTTTTGGTTAAATGTAACATCTTCACCACTAGTGTGGGGGGAGGATGCTACAGCTTCAGACATGAAAAATATTTACCATTTACTGCCAATAAACAATGGAAACGTAAAATATGTACCAATTAGTAATGAAAAGTTGTGCAGTGCCTGTCAGCAGATGAAGCTCACCAACTTACAATAGGCTAAATTACCTTACAACGTGCTTTCAGTAGTCTATGTTGAAGTTCTTAGCACAGGCTAACTTATCATATCATATACGGTATCACAGTTCTCATTGATCTACAAAAAATACCGGTAATAAAAACCTTTTTGATGTTTCACACTTAATATAATACCCGGTAATCTACTTCAACCTCCTATTGTTTACAACGACACATGACGCACCACTAGCAGTTGAGTATTAGCTACACGGTACACGTGTTTTTTGAATCGTTTTCAGTTAAAAAACTGTTACATCACATGTATATTTTACCTTAACTGTGCCTGAATGAATATATTCTCGGAAATAAATAGTAGTTTTGCTGAAACGTGATGTATTTTAATATAAAATAGGATAAAATACATGACGAAAACAAAAGACTTTACCTAACCTTCCGATGTTCAAGAGAGGTTACTCGTTTTTTTAATAGTTTTTGGTTAAAATACTGTTATATTACAATGGTATTCTATTCATACTGTGCTTGATATAATGCATTCACGGAAAGGTAATATTTTTGCTGAAATGACGTACGTTTTACAGTGGAAAGTGGGATAAAATCATGACTAAAACAATGACTTTTGCTTTCTTTCGTTCAAAAGATGTTACCGTAATCGCTTTTCGATTGGTTTTCAGTTAAAAAACTGTTGTATTACAATAATATTCTATCCTAATTGACTTAAAATAAATACTACGATACCATATTTCTGAATATTTTCATAAAAATTCATCCAAATCATTTTCCTTGTCATCGTCTGCAGCACCAAACAGCTTCTCCCAGTCCTCTCCTTGAACAGGGCTAGAGGGTACGTGTTTTTCGAATCGTTTTCAGTTAAAAAACTGTTACATCACACGTATATTTTACCTAAACTGCGCCTGAATAAATATATTCTCGGAAATAAATAGTAGTTTTGCTGAAACGTGATGTATTTCAATGTAAAATAGGATAAAATACATGTCGAAAACAAAAGACTTTACCTAAGCTTCCGATGTTCTTGAGATGTTATTCGTTTTTTTAATAGTTTTCGGTTAAAATTCTGTTATATTACAATGATATTCTATTCATACTGTGCTTGATATAATACATTCACGGAAATGTAATATTTTTTGTTGAAATTACGTACGTATTATAGTGGAAAGTGGGATAAAATCGTGACGAAAACAATGACTTTCCCTTTCTTTCGTTCAAAAGATGTTACCGTAATCGCTTTTTGAATGGTTTAGTTAAAAAACTGTTGTATTACAATAATATTCCCTCCTAATTGACTTGAATAAATACTTGAATGGAAATATACAATATTTTTGTTGAAACTACCTGCGTTTCAGTGTAAAGTGTCGTAATAATAAATGGTAAACAATTTGCCTTCGGCACTCGTGTTTCATGCACGGCGAGCCTCAGTTTATAGGACGTAGAGCGTTTTTACTGAAGGTTTTGTTGTTCCATTACCCTCAAAAACGTGGGTCGAACTATAAACGAGGAATATCGTAAATTAACGATTTCTTGGTCAAAAATCGAGATGGAAGAGCCTACCTATAAGCGAGGGGGTTATGACGGTATATCACGAGGAAAATACTCACGAATATGAATAAAAAGAAAAATACTTATTAAGACACTTTTTTAAAATAGTAACCAATGTAATACCAAAACATTTTTTATGATGGCCCAGTCTTCATAGATGCACCGGTGCTTCAATCGGAAGCCACAAAGAAAATAATAGGTTTTAAGGGGAGTTCAATTTCCTTCCCCTAATGAATATTCCTTGATGGAAACTTGAGCATTGCACAGTATCTATTCCTTACTGTACCAGTCA